TGAGGAGGGATATTGTGGCCCTCCAGAACCTTCAAAGCCATTTAAAATGAGAGAAGGAGAGCAGGTGTACTTTAGATTCAGTGGAAATATTTTTGCTTCAGGTAAATCAATTTTAATTCCAACAATGTTGGAAGCTATCGGTCATGCTGTTTGGACTTTACAAATGAGACTTTCAAAAATAATATATATACATCATTAAAAGTTCCCTCTCTATTTCCCTTAATTATTATATCACATTCGAGTTAATACATTTCTAATTATAGCTCAATCAATCAATACATTTGTCAATATAATTTTACTTATACATATCCAAGTCCTGTTTTTAAGTTTTACCTAATTTCAATTACCACATTCCAATTTAGCCTTTAGTATCCATAATATTTAGACTTCGGGTAACCCAAATTTTCCTAATTTCATTACATAATACTTATCGTATCTAAAATACAGATATTATTCAGTTAATTATATTCTTACTTTATTTCACAAATATATTCTATTTCTCATCCTAGTATCATCATTTACTAATAAACTATCTTTTATTGTCACAGACCAACTTCCATATTAGCTGCTTCTTCAGTCGTTTTTTATAATAAGTGCTCCGTTGTTTTGTGAATTCAATGGGTTTATGGGTTTTATGATTGACGGCTCCTGATATTTTTAGGATCTTAATCAGTTCTAGCCCTAAAGTCCCGTTCAGACATGCAGTTTGCACTGGCAGGAACGAATCGTCACAGTATCTCTCCTCCAAAAATATGCAGGTTGGATGTTTCTGTGCTTCCTAAATATATATGTGAGGCATTTGTTTGAAAAATGAGTACACCGTTCAGTTCAGTCTTCCACTTTCTTGTTTCTTACCACTTCACCACTGAGGCTTCAGAATGAACACAATAAACAGAATAAACATAAATACACACATCCTGCTGGTTCTGATTTAAATCTCTAGGGCCGGACCCAAAAGTTCCACAGTTTTGAAAGACAGAGGAAGTCCACTGTCAGTGAACCCAAGAACCTTGAAGAACAGGCCAACGAGACAATCCCTTACCCCACCCACCCACCCACCCCCATATCTTTGTTTTATATTTTGATTTGTTCTAATTGGATTTATAACCCCCTTTTTTTTCAACATGAAAGGGAGGGAGACGACAATGAAGGATGCCGACAATGAGAAAGAATCAAAGACAAATCAAATTCACGCAAGCCACCCTCAAAACACGGTCCAGTCGTTGCCAACACACAATTTAATCAGCCTGTAACAAAAACGCCAGCTCTGCCATCTATCTGATGGGTGAACAGGGCTGGTGCTAGATAAACTGCATTCATCAGAAAATGACATCTCTTTGGAGAGAGGCCTAGCCACTCTCTTCCTCACAGCCTGGCTGCATTATTTTCGGCTTATCTGTTTGCGCCACATGTCGAAAGATGATATTGGAATAATAATCTTTCTCCTGCCTTTTTTTGAGGGGGGTGGGGGGTCCATTGGCTTGACAAGATACCGCTTTTAGCCCAAGATCTAGATTCCCAAAAAAGGAGGTAGCTTTGATGCAAGCTTGAAAGTCTTTGCCCACCGAATACTATTGAAAGGAGTTATTTACACCTTCAAGTTGATCAGCAGGTTGCCTGTGCTGATTACCTAGATGGTAGGTGTACGTCTGCACTGCCCCTCAGAACACAGGGATAAAATAATGCTCCATTTTGAGAGCTGGTCAGTAATAAGCACAGGAAGTAGAAATTGTTGCCTCAGGAGACAATCTATCCCATTATTATGTTTAATATCAACTAGAACAGAATAGAACAGTGATGGCGAACCTGTTAGAGACCGAGTGCCCAAACTGCAACCCAAAACCCACTTATGCATCGTCGGGTGCCGGGTGGGTGTGGCCCATTGGCTGGGTGTGGCCAATTGGGTGGGCGTGGCTGCGATGGAACGGCAGACTGGGTGGGACTAAAAAGTTCAATCAATCAATTCCAACTTTGCAAGATCTTTTTTTCCCCGCGAGAAGTTGAAATTGACTGATTGAACCTTTTTTTTTTTTTTTGCACATGGCGGCGGAGGCCTAAAGTGAAAAGGTTTTATAAAACCCAGCTGAAGGCCTAGGACTGGTGCGATGGCGCGCGTGCCCACAGAGAGGGCTCTGAGTGCCGCCTCTGGCACCCGTGCCATAGGTTCGCCACCACTGGAATAGAATAACAGAGTAGGAAGAGACCTTGAAAGTGCATGAGCAGGAGACCCTATACCATCTCAGACAAGTGACTGTCCAGTCTCTTCTTAAAAAACCTCCAGTGATGGAGCACCCACAACGTCTGAAGGCAACTTCCATTCCACTGATTAATTGTTCTGTCTGGAAATTTGTCCTTGGTTCTAGGTTGGTTCACTCCGTCTGTTACTTCTTGTCCTACCATTGGTGCTTTGGAGAATGAGTCAACCCCCTCTTCTCTGTCATCCCTCAAATATTGTCACCCATTGTCTTTTTCTTTGTTGGACTAGACATACCTAGTTCCCACATCGGTTCATTGTATGTTTTAGCCAATCATTTTAGTTGAATAGAATAGAATAACAGAGTTGGAAGGGTCCTTGGAGGTCTTCTAGTCCAACCCCTTGCTCAGGCGGGAAACCTTATACCACTCCAGACAAATGGTTGTCCAGCCTCTTCTTAAAAACTTCCAGTTTTTGGAGCATTCACAACTTCTGGAGGCAGGCTGTTCCACTGATTAATTGTTCCAACTGTCAGGAAGTTTCTCCTTAGTTCTAGATTAGATCTCTCCACGATTACCTGCATGAGTTGAACTGCTCAGAGCAGGATTATTTTTTTCCCAACAGCCCAGGCTGAACATTGTGGGTTGGAGATGACCTTAAGAACAAGATGTCTATGGAAATTCTCAGTCATCCAGGTCATGGTTGTCCCAAAGATATTTGTTCAAGAGGCAACTAGACTTTCTTGTTTTTCTTTGAAGATGTTTCACTTCTCATCTAAGAAGCTTCCTCAGCTCTGACTGGATGGTGGGGAATGGAAGGATTTATATTCCTTGCAGACAGCTGGTCATTTGCATTCTTTTAGAGAGTCGTTGAGGCCACTTGGAGGTGACTCTGAAGACACAGATAAACTTCCAACAGGCCTCAATGACTAAAAGGATGCAAATGACCAGCTGTCTGCAAGGAGTATAAATCCTTCCATTCCCCACCATCCAGCTAGAGCTGAAGAAGCTTCTTGGATGAGAAGCAAAACATCTTCAAAGAAAAAACGGAAACTTCATTTGTCTCTTGAAAAAGCACCTTTGGGACTTAAGAACCAGCGTTTGTTTTCAGTTAAATGTGACAGTGTAATGTTTTAATTGCAGAGGTAATGAAATTCAGCCATACTCCAGGGAGCTTCATGTATCATAACTCATAACTCATTGTTTACTCAAGGAAAAGGCACTGATGTTACACCACAGAGGCAAACAAACCTGTTTTATGAAAAACAATAGGGATGCTCCCGTTGAATCAAACTCAGTTTGGATCCATGATAACGGTTTAGATTGCCAAAGCTCGCTTCCAAATCGTGCACTTAAATTACACTATCTTTCCAAATTAAGGTGTCTGAATTTAGCTGATCCTGTTTGGATGGTCAATTCGATCTGGAGGGTGTGGGAGCAGACCTTTTCTATGAATTCTTTATAATAATAAAAAAAACCCAGTTCAGTTGTTACACTGAGTTGGAAGCGACTGCTTCGATCTCACAATCCAGTCTAAATCAACCGTCTGCTTTGGAGATTCAAAGCAGGAAGGAAGGTTTGTGCAAAATTAAATCCGCCGATCAGTTAAAAGCATTTGATATTTTTGTTTGTTTCTTTTCTTTAAAAAAAAAAAATCGAGTCGTAGCTTAATTATTTGTGTTGCACCCGTGCAGATGATGGGAACACCTACGGAAAAAATTACAGGCTTGCTTTTCACGCTCAGAGGAAGCCGAGACTCGCCCTTTGGATCAAGGAAGTAGATGAATTTGGAAACTACAGTTCACCCCATTATAAAGGAACCGCCTTATTTTACAAAGTGGCAAAAGACACTGTCCTTAACAACGTAGACCCTCTTCTGCTAGAAGACCATGAACATGATTCCTTCCTGTGCAAATTGGCACTAACTCTGCCGAAGGTGAGCTGTTTCATAACATGAGGATGTTATAATCTGTAGCAATATTTGCTAGTTGCATCCCAATAGGTCCCTTTGTTCCCCATGAAAGGACTAAAAAATGGATTTTTCATTGCCTTATCTATAATAATAATAATAATAATAATAATAATAATAATAATAATAATAATAATAATAATAATAATAATAATAATAATAATAATAATAATAATAATAATAATAATAAAGTTGGAAGGGACCTTGGAGGTCATCGAGTCCAACCCACTGCTCAGGCAGGAACCCTACACCATTTCAGACAAATGGCTGTCCAGTCTCTTCATAAAAACTTCCAGTGTTGGAGCATTCACCGCTTCTGGAGGCAGGTTGTTCCACTGGTTAATTGTTCTAATTGTCAGGAAGTTTCTCCTTAGTTCTAGGTTGCTTCTCTCCTTGATTAGTTTCCATCCATTGCTTCTTGTCCTGCCTTCAGGCGCCTTGGAGAATAGCTTGACTCCGTCTTCTTTGGGGCAGCCCCTGAGATATTGGAACACTGCTATCATGTCCCCCCTCGTCCTTCTCTTCATTAAGCTAGACATACCCAATTCCAACAACTGTTCCTTATATGTTTTAGCCTCCAGTCCCCTAATCATCTTTGTTGCTCTTCTCTGTACTCTTTCTAGAGTCTCAGCATCTTTTTTACATCGTGGTGACCAAAACTGGATGCAGTATTCCAAGTGTGGCCTTACCAAGGCATTGTAAAGTGGTATTAACACTTCATGTGATCTTGATTCTATCCCTCTGTTAATGCAGCCCAGCACTGTGTTGGCCTTTTTGGCAGCTGCAGCACACAGCTGGCTCCTATTTAAGTGGTTGTCCACTAGGACTCCGAGGTCCCTCTCACAGTTACTACTATTGAGCAAGGTACCCCCCATACTATAGTCTGTAGCAATATTTGCTAGTTGCATCCCAAAAGGTCCTTTTGTTCTTCATGAAAGGACTCAGAAAAAAATGGATTTTTCATTGTCTTATCTATTACATTATTATTTCTTACCAGTCTCCCCATCCAAACACACTTTGTACTCAGCTTCTCCCTGATCTCAGGGTCTCTCTTCCATCATGTTAATGGATTGGACTAGAACCTGGAAGAGTTCCAACAGGTTGCAAAGAACTGTAGTAGATTAAAGAAGAATCAAACTCTTAGGTGTCCCCTGCCAGGTTTGCTGGTAATCCCGGTAGGAGAATAGCAATAGCAATAGCGCTTAGACTTATATACCGCTTCGCAGTACTTTACAGCCCTCTCTAAGCAGTTTACAATGTCAGCATTTTGCTCCCCAACAATCTGGGTCCTCTTTTTACCGACCTGGGAAGGATGGAAGGCTGAGTCAACCTTGATCCAGCGAGAATCGAACTGCCGACATCCAGCAATCAGCAGAGGTAGCCTGCAGTGCTGCATTCTAACCACTGCACCACCAGAATAACAAGTTGGAAGGGATCCTGGAGGTCTTCTAGTCCAGGGCTTTTCAACCAGTGGTACGGGTACCACCTGTGGTACATTGGCACCTGGCAGGTGGTACGCAACCATCCTAGAAAAGTGGTACTGGAGAGGGGAATGAGCTGAACCAGTGGCAGCACCGCACAAGCTGAGCGACAGATGGCTGGAGCTGCAGGACTGTCAGGGCTCAGCAGAAGCGCCAGGATCAGTGCCGCTTTCCAGCTGATCGGCACTTCTTCGGGGCTGTCAGGGCTCAGTGGAAGCACCAGGATCAGCGCCAGGCTCCAGCTAGAGCTCAGCGCTGATCCTGGTGCTTCTGCTGAGCCCTGAAGAAGCACCAATCAGCTGGAAAGCAACACTGATCCTGGTGCTTCTGCTGAGCCCAGAAGAAGCGCCGATCAGCTGGAATGTTGCAGCATCTCCAGGGTCTTGTGATTTACATTCAGATGCTTGGCAACTGATTCATATTTATAATGGTCACAGTGTCCCAGGGTCATGTGGCATGACCAAAACCTGCTACAACCACCCAGCAGACGGGGGGGGGGAATAAAAACCAAACACCCCCCATCCCACCCCCGCTGCCAATCCTCAACAGAAATGCTCACAGCAATGAAAACCTCGGATAGGAGGAAGAGCGCCATCGGGCGGGCAGGCAGGTGTCTTGCTCGGCTGTGCCTTGGGGGGCACTTTTTTCAGTGCCATTGTCACTTCAAACAGTCACTAAGCAAACTGTTGTAAGTCGAGGACTACCTGTACTTTATCACTTTTTTCCTCTTTTTTTTTGGTCATCAAGTTTTTGACACCTTGCTAGGCGACTGGTGGTACTCGGATGTTGCCATATCCTAAAAGTGGTACAATGGGTGAAAAGGTTGAAAAGCCCTGTTCTAGTCCAACCTCCCGCTGACAATCTTTCTGACAAGATTATCACATCTGCATTTCTGCAGACCTGTCTGGGGCAGAGAGAACTTGGGGGGGGGGGTTTGTTTCTGCCTTTAAGATCTTTTGGGGAAATATAATATTCTGCCTTTTTAATATTTCCCGAAATATTTCTTTCTCTGGATTCTTCCCACGGACTCTTTGTGCTTTGTTTAATAACCTAACCCCAGTAATATTTCTTTTTCTGTTCGTATCTTCCACCTTGACAGAAGGAAAAACTGATCAGCCGCCCTCAAAGCACAAAGAGAATTTCAACAGATATATCAGGTGAGGTTTGATAGCACCCAAATGGCATCCGGCTCAACCCTATACATTTAAGAGCCTCACAACATAAGGTTTGGGGAGTTCCAATAAAAGAGAATATTTGTAGCTCTGGGTTGACATGAGGGGTCTTTGGTGCTCTCTGAGCTTGGTGGTTTTCTTGGAGACATTTCATGACCCAAACTAGGTAACCTCATCCATCTCATGAGCAGCATTTCTAGTGACCCAAACTAGACAACATCATCAGTGTTAGTAGGGAGAAGGGTTTGTGGGGGGGAGGAGGAGGAGGAGGAGGAGGAGGAGGGGAGGAGGAAGAAAGGACTGTGGGTTCCTTGGTGCTCTCTGGGCTTGGTGGTTTTTTTGCAGACGTTTCATGACCCAAACTAGACAACATCATCAGTGCTAGTAGGGAGATGGGTTTGAGGGGAGGGGAGGAGGAGGAGGAGGAGGAGGAGGAGGAGGAGGAGGAGGAGGAGGAAAGGACTGTGGGCTCCTTGGTGCTCTCTGAGCTTGGTGGTTTTCTTGCAGACATTTCATGACCCCAAACTAGACAACATCATCAGTGCACCAATGATGTTAGCTAGTTTGGGTAATGAAATGTTTACAAGAAAACCACCAAGCTCAGAGAGCACTGAGGACTGCTCATTTAGGGGTGGGGGGGTTATATGGTGGATTTTTAATGTTGTTAGCCTTCCAGAGTCTCCCTGAGTGAGTTGGATGTTCACATAAAATTGTTAAGTAAATAAATCTTATGCTTTCACTGAACTCAGCAGCACGCCTAGCCAGTGGACCCATCAGGAAAATTAGGACTGATTGGGCAGTGTTAATAAACACAAAAGGTACGCACCCTTCCAAGTTCTCCAGAACTTTATATTAGATAAAATGTCACAAAGATCAGGAGAGGGAGAAGAAGCAAAAGCAACTATTGAGATATTATGCCTTTTATCTTTTATTTTAGGCAGCCTTGAATCCCAAAGGGAGTTGGGTGGTTCTTAAGTATGAAAAATAAATAAGTAAATCTATTAAGACATCAGCCTTGATGTTAGCAGCCCTGGGATCTGCTGCTCAGAGTATGTCTCCAGATGGACTTTGCGGACTGACCTTGACCAGTTTCAGGGCAGACTTACCTATGATCAGTGGTGGGATTCAAATATGTGAACAACTGGTTCTCTGTGTGGATGCCGCTTCCGGAAGTCCACTCTGGGCCTGGGTAACAAAAAATTAGCTACCGGTTCTGCCAAAGTGGTGCGAACTGGCTGAATCCCACCACTGCCTGTGATGTAGTCAGCTCTTCTTCTTTTTTCAGATTTCAGTTGCAATTATGTTGGTTTCTTCTTAAGTCCATAGCCACATGGAATTACAGCAGTGATTTGAATCAGGACTGTAGGGAAAGGGAAAGAGACTAAAGGAACTGGTTCTTTTTAAACCTGAGAAAAGATGATCTAAAGGATGTTTTCCAAGAAGCTGTAGGGTTGCCAGCATCAAGTGCAACCACGTCCCAAAGTGCAAGACAAAGAATAACTGTAGGCAGTGGTGGAATTAAAATACCTGAACAACCGGTTCTCTTATTCGATGCAGGCCTGGGCCTCCAAGGCCTAGAATGGACTTCCGGAAGTGGCATCCACACACTTTCGGGGGGCCGTTCTAGGCCTGGGAGGCCTCCTCCAGGCCTTCAAGGCCTAGAACGGACTTCCGGAAGTGGCATCCACGCACTTCCGGTGGACCTGCAAGCCTCTGACGCTTAGACTGGACTTCTGGAAGCCATCCAGTTCTCTGAATGCAGCAAAATTTACCTACTGATTCTGCTGAACCAATGTGAACCGGCTGAATCCCACCACTGACTGTAGGAGATGACGTTGAGCCCGAGGGAGGGGTCAAATGCATCATAAGTCACAAATCCCTGCATGCCCGCAAGAGATCTAAGTACAGCCCACCTTAAATGCCTTTCTTATCTCCCGCTCATGTCCCTTGACCGTTAGTTGGTCAGATTCCTTATACTCATTTGAACTGCCTCAATCTCCTGATTTCCCCGGCACTTGACAATAACAATCTTAAGTTAAAGTAGAGAATTTTTTTTTCTAAATGTAATAGCAGCATGATCATCGAACCAATCACCCACAAGGATGTTGGGTTGTCCATCCAGGATAGGGTAAGCAGAAGTTGAACATATGGACTCCTGCAACAAGCGGGAGTTGAACTTGTTCACTTAAACGGCTCCTTCCAACTCATGCTTAAATCCTTGCCCACATTGTGGAGCAGATTCTGATGCAATTATTCAATCAATCAATCAATCAATCAGAACAGAACTGGAAGGGACCTTGGAGGTCTTCTAGTCCAAGGGAACTTTGTTAGTGGTTTGAATCTCTACCCTTGCTGACTTCTTTTTCCCCCAAAAAATATATGAATTAACCTTTCCTTCCTTCAAGTCTGATCGTATTCCAGGTTCTTTAAAATGCAAGTCATTTCCTGACATGTGTTGAAGGTCAAATATGGCTCTAAGACTCGTGCCTCAGCATGCATATTTTCCAGTGAGACAGACCTACCTAGATAGGAAGATCATTTAGTACAATTTATTCAGAATATTCTGATAAAAGGGATTCCTCTCATTCAAAGAGGGGAACCAGCTGTTTAGCTTAATTTCCATTTATAGCTAAGACCTCGAAGAGAACGGAAGAGAAAAGGTGATCGGACAGGGCAAAAGTAACTTCCCCTTTGCGTAGGAAATCACGTGGTCAAACATGTGACATATTTGCATCCCGTAATACCAGACATGTTCACATTAAAACGAACCGTGATGACAGAAGGGATGTAAATGTTGAGATGTTAACAAGGAAAAAGGTTGTTTGGAGTTCACGAGACAAACCCAAATTAGCCAATTAGTGCTAGCAAGCAATTCTCTTATCAGGAAACATCAGTGCAGACATACCTTCCTATAAATTCTCTTCCCAGTTTAGAAATGTTAGAAGCCATCGATCAATCCTTACAGCAACAAGATAAAAAGCTTTCCTGTGTTCCAGTTCATAATGGTTTGTTAAGCCCTTATCGCCATTTTAAAAGAGAGAACAATAGATCAAATTAAAATACAAAGTGACTATGCTAGTTAACAAGTATGACAAGATGATCCAAAGGTGCTTTTTTTTCAAGAGGCAACTTGACTTTCTTGTTTTTGCTTTGAAGACGTTTCGCTTCTCATCCAAGACGCTTCTTCAGCTCTGACTGGATGGTGGGGAATGGAAGGATTTATACTCCTTGCAGACTGCTGGTCATTTGCCTTCTTTTAGAGAGTTGTTGAGGCCACCTGGAGGTTTACCTGTGTGCTCAGGGTCACCTGAGTGGTGCAAATGGGTGTGAAGCCTCCTTGGCTGCAGGATGTTTTCTGGCCTGTGTTCCTTCACTGTTGAAGACAGGCATAGGCGGTTGGGGATGAGCCTGTGTTATCTGAATCTCAAACTGAATATAGGGATATAAATCCTTCCATTCTCCACCATCCAGTCAGAGCTGAAGAAGCTTCTTGGATGAGAAGTAAAACATCTTCAAAGAAAAACAAGGAAGTCCTGAAAAAGCACCTTTGGGACAAACCATGACCTGGATGACTGAGAATCTCCATGGACATATGACAATATGACAAAATCCATGTCACGTGCCCCTTGGTGTTCAGTGCTTTTTTTTTAATTGCATGCAATTCCATCTCTTTATAAATATTTTGACCAGCAGAGGTCATGTGGGACAACCTGCTCTACTGGCTTTCGGAAGAGCTGTCAGAGGAGAACGCCAATTCTCTTGCGCAATACCTGCCTCTCCACCGAAGCACTCTTCAGTTTATTAAACTCAAGTGTCCTGAGAATCTGACCGAGCAGATCTACGAGCTTCTGTGCTTCTGGAGACGGAGCCTTCCAAGGTCTGCCGACAAGCTCAAGCTTCTCTCTCGCTACCTCGGCAAAATTGGCCGGAATGATCTGGCTCAACATCTCCAATTCAAGTGGACAAACCAAAGCGTCATGAAGAAAATTCACCGTTAGGGGTGCCGTTGTGGGGCTGGATTGAAGTAAAAGGTCATGTTCTCCAAAAGAAGAAGGTTATCTTGAACGTTCTTCCTAAGTGGATTTGGGAGTGGAGGGACAAGTTAAATGGAAGCTCTTTTCCAAAGGTTAATCGGCTTGTGGAGATTCTGTTAGGGTAGCTTTGTGATAAAGTAGAATTAGTGGCGAATATCTGTAGCTCAGCTGTAGGATGAGGGTGAAGGTGTGTTCTCCAACCCACAAGCTCAGAGAAGGAACCTTCACCCTCAAAGTAGAATTAGCTTATTGGGTTGTGTTTCCTGTCTGATCTACCTGGTAGGGCTGACATCAGTCTCGCAGGTCTGAAAGTACAGTTCCCCTGTTGTTACTTTTACAACCTGAGAACATAGAGTAGATCCCACTTGGCCCTCTTGTTCCACCCATTAGGCAGCTGTGGGCTCTGCTCTCTCTTATCTGATGTTTCCCTAGGTGTCATCTCTTTGTCAGGTCTTCCTAGGTCATCTCCATGTCTCCCCGAGAGAGCATCTTCAAGTGTTTTTCCTCTGCCTTTTGACAAAGGATGGAGAATCAGTTGTCTTCTTGCCGAAGTTATTTACCTAGCATGGACTTATGGAAGACGGTGTTTCCTGGACTTGGTTAAGCACATGTCACTAAGTCCATTGTCCCATCCTTGTGTCAAGTTTCGAAGCAGGGTTCTGCTGGTGCGACAAATTCTGCTTCTCAGCTTGCCAATGAACTCGGGGGGAGGGGAAGGGATTGGAATGCAGTCTTCAAAGATTAAGAAGCCAGACCATGAGACTCAAGGACATTACACCAGGTGTCTGGCTAGACCCAGAGACACTTTCTCATAACAATATTTTTCTACTTGATTGGGCAACGTGACCTAACCAAGAGGGAGGAGGGAGAATTCTATGTTTTTATTATATGGCAGTGATGGCGAACCTTTGAGAGACCGAGCGCCCAAACTGCAACCCAAAACCCACTTATTTATCGCAATGTGCCAACATGGCAATTTAACCTGAATGCTGAGGTTTTAGTTTAGAAAAAACAACTCATACCTTACTTAACATCTTTTGTCTTAAAAGAAAAGCACCATAACAAAGCTTTCAATGATACAAACAACTTTTTACTGAAAGGTAAAAGTTTTCATTTGGCATGCTTTTGAACAATTAATGTGATTTTTGCTGTTGTATGCATGCTGATAATTTGTCTAACCTTGGCTTATACTTTGTAAGTTTGAGAGCAACACATGCAGCACTCAGGTCATCTGTTAGTCTGTTTCTGGTGTCAGTTTTGATATAATTCAAAGCTGAAAACAGCGCGCTTGCTCCGGAGGCTTGTTTTGGCTAGGAAGGGGCTTGAGAAATGGCTTTTTCTAGCCAAAGAGCAAGGCGCACGTGCCCATAGAGAGGGCTCTGAGTGCCCCCTCTGGCATGCATGCCATAGGTTCGCCACCACTGTTATAGGGGTTGGGGCTGCCCAGAGCTGGTTTTGCTTTCATACGTGCTGAAATGATGTACTCAATAAAGTTTTGCATCAAGAGTTTGGATCGTCTTGAGGGTGCTTGCTTGGTCTGAGTCTTGACATCTTGATTTAGAAAATGTGTTGAACTTTTCCTCTAAGGCCATGGAGTTAGAGGAGGGGGGGGGAGATGTATTTAAATAAATACATAAAGATGTCAAAGGACTTACCGAGTCCAAAATATTATGTCAGTTATAACTCCCTTATGAACAAAAACATTCTGGAGCATACGTTCCTTCAAAGAGCAGTCATCATTTTTTCTTTTTTTCATATGAGGATAAATGATATTTCTCTGAGCCATTAACAATGAAGCCTTAGCTTTCTTTTTATAAACACAATCTTCTTTCCTGCATTATGTAATAACTTCAAATAGATCCATGGTGGAAGGGTTTCTTGGCTGACACAGAAATCTAGAACTAGTCAACCCGGCAGACTCCGTGTCCCATTAGAATGCAAAGTTGCATTGCAGATGTGACTTTTCTGGTGATCACAATAAATAACAAACTCAATGAATTATTTATTTTATTCATTTCTTAAATTTATGTGTCACCCTTCTCACCACAATGAGGCGACTCTGGGTGGGCTACAAAGTTAAAAAGCAATCAAACAATACAAATGTATTTGTATGATAAATACTAATCTAATGAAGGATGCAGGCCAGGGGTGTCAAACTCGCAACGTCATGTGACGTGTCATGACATATCGCAACTTTTTTTTTTCCATTGCTGGCAAAGGGGTAGGCGTGGGGTTTTTTTTTTAATGATGCATCCGGCCCATAGGCCAGCAGTTTGACACCCCTGATGTAGGCCGTCTCAACACAGGGATGTGTGCAAGCATGCTAAGATGGAATAAAACAATAAAGAAGAGAAAGTTGGCCTATAACTAATGGATAAAAGAATAAAAGGATGAGACAGGCAGGACATGTCCAATAAATAAATAAATAAATAAAACATCAAAATCTGCTCAAGAATGAAACTAGCTTCTCTCCGCCTTCTAAATTGTAACAATGATCCATGACAAGATTAATTAAAGTCAAGAGATCAGAGTCCAGCACATTTAGATTATAAAATGGAAACAAAGAGGAGGTATGTAAACTGGGAAAATGTCAGGTGCAAAGAATCAGGACCACACATTACACTCCAGTTAAGATGATTTATTGCTCATGCCTCTACACAAGACTCCAGTCAACTAATGGTCAGCACTAAACTGGTGCTAGATAAGAACTAACTGAATTCAAGAGGGGTTGGACTAAGAATCACTTGTGGGAATGTAGCGATTCTAGGCTGATTCCTCTCTTGACTCTGCCCCCAAGCTCTTCCTCTCCTTCTCCTACAGGAAAGTATGTGAAATGTATACAGATGTAAACACAGCGTGTACAAGCTTGTCTATTCTACAGCTTGCAATTTGTGATCTGCTGCTTTGTGCCTGTTCCTTCCCTGGCTATCATTTTTTCTGGAATGAAAGAGTTACCGTGGAGGACAATTTTAAGTAATACTCTGATAGGGATAACTTCTCTGTTTCCATTGGTTGGGAAAATTGTGTGGATCACTGTAATTAGATGTTGTAGAATTGCGGTATGTATTAAAGGGACAGCTTCATTCAATCTTTGATTCAATAAACCTATGTAACTATTGTGTTCTGTACTGTTGTCTTCTGGTGCCTGTGATCCCTGGAGTCAAGATTTTGATTGATTGGTAGGTGGATTGATTGATTATGTGTCATCAAGTCATTTTGAACTCCTCTCAACCATACGGATAGATTTTCTCAAGGATGATCTATCTTTAACCTGTTCTTTTAAGCCTTCCAACAATGAAATTTTGAATAGGAAGGAAATAGAGGTTAAGTGGAAAGGAAATACTGTAATTTCACTACATTTTCCCCTTTCTTCAGCCTCCAGACCGCTAATCATCTTTGCTGCTCTTCTCTGCACTCTTTCCAAAATCTCAATATCTTTTTTGTATCGCAGTGACCAAAACTGGATTGCAATATTCCAGGTGTGGTCTTATCAGTGCACTATAAAGTAGTACTAAAATAGATATAGATTTGTTGCAAAGATTTAAGTTCCTAATCACAATCAATGTTTTTACCAGGATTCTCCATGCACCTTCAGAAATGGATGCTGAAAGCAATTCATCAACACGCCATGCCAATGTTTTGCGTACTTTATTACAGATTACCTTTTTCCAGAATTTGGAAAATGTAACCATGTTTGCATGGCATCTGTAGAGAGGTCTTTGAGAATTTTCCTATGTTTTTTTTCTTTGGAAACCCCGGATACCCAAATCCTTCTGCTTTAGTCACTGTTCGCTCTTTGGAACCCATCATCCACCGCATTGCGTTCCCAATCCCATGACTTGGATGCCAACTGAGCAAAAAGCTTCTGAAATGTAAAAACATTCATTTGTCAAAACAGACCCAGCCCTGGAACTATTCTTAAATAATGAAGGGGCACAAAATAAGCTTCCAGCCTCTTTCCAGAAAATTCTCCGAAATGATGGATTGTAAAAATGACAGATCTGGGTTAGATCTATCGCAATCGTGGGGATATACTACAAGGATAAATTTAAAATGTGACCTTAAACCACCAGATGGCCTCAGTGTCTGGTTTTTTTTAAAAAAAAATAAAAATACAGTGCTTCTTTAAGTAACAAATATAATGATGAGACTTCATTTTAAAAGAGAAAAAAACGTCTTTAAAATCCGTTTGGTTATCCTTCACACATTTTTTAAAAAGTTGAATATTTCTTTATCGTGTAAGAGAACTGAAGCATTTTTAATTTCAGATTTGAAAGGGCTTGTCTATTTATCAAATTTCACCCCTAGGAACTGTATGAAGAACTGTGCAGCCTCTCTACACTTAATATAGGTAGCCGTTGACTTTCAACTCATTTAGTGACCGTTCAAATTTACAACAGCTCTGAAAAAAGTGACTTATGATCGTTTTTCACATGTTGAAGGAAAAATCTTCATCAGGGTTCAGTCCAAGCCGGGAATAAACAACATGGTGACTGCTTTAGAAAGAAGGTTGCAGTTTATTGAAGAGGAGAGCCAGAAGATGGCTCTGGAAGAAAAGAGAGCGAGCACATGTAGAGAGCGGGTTTTTATACCCTCTGGAGCCTTATGTTTGGAGTTGTTTCCTGTTCCTGTTTGAGGCTTTGTATTTCCTGTACCATGTACTTTGACCTGAGTCTGAGTGTGCCCTTTGGTATCTGTGGGTTAATCCTATTATGTCCTGTCTTAGAGTTTGGGTGGGGTATGTAGATTTTAGGTGTCTTTGTCTTCTTAATCTTCTAGCTGGGGGCCTCCAGCCTTCCTGAATGGATTATTACATCTGCATTTCTACAGAGCTGGTTTCTGCTTGGGGGAGGGAGACTTGGGGCTATTAAAAAAAACTGGAATATGCTATTCTACCCCCAGCTTCTCTGAATTGTTTTACCAGATGTTGGCCCAAGTTATTGAATCTAGCCTTGTAATTTTGGCATTATTCAAATTGCATCATAAAGTCCACCAGTATTGACCCAAGCCCAGATGCCATCTGATCCAAAGAGATCCCAGGGTTCCCTGC